GCAGCCGTCCCAACAGGGCATATATAGCCCTTGCGTGGGCACCAGTCGGTGCCGGCACGCCACCCTCCCGTGCCCACCACCCCCGGCACCTGGACCCACACCAGCTGCTGCAGCCAGGGAGGGTGCACCAGCCCCGTGCCCCGTGGCTGCGTCGTGCCCGGCCCCGCGGCTGCACTGTGCTCATCGTTGCCCTCGAAGCACTAAATCTCTTGCTTTAAACTTCGCTCCATACCCGCAAACGCCTGAGTGCGCTGCCCTGAAGATGCAAGATGCAAAACTTCAGTGTTTTGAAATGCTTCAAGTGGTGGTGGGTTTTTTTTCCAAATGACGTGTAATTGAAGCTGACACTTTCCAAAACATCTGAGTCCCTAAAAATGGTTTTCCTCCTTGAGGATGTCCCTGCTCTCTGCGTCCACTGGCATGGACGTTAGCTGGTATTTAGCCCATTTAACCTGTGCTCACTCTGTACCATCCCTGACTTTTCCATCACCATACTGCATGATGCCAGATCCAACATGGGATTCTGGTGCACCAGTGCTGTCTGACTGACAGCAGGCGGAGGGGGCTGCGGGGGGGCTGCTGGGGACATGCCAGGCACCGGTCCCTGCAGTGGCTCAGCCTGCGGTGCCAGGTCTCCTGCACCCCACGGCCGCTCCCTGCACCAGGAGACAACCTGGGGGCACCTTCTCCTGACTCCCCCTGAGCCTCTGATCAGCTGCTCTCCCTGTTTGCCTGCAGCGATCCTGTTCGTTGCGTATAAACCTCCACACTTCTCTCCTCCCAGTCCTTTCCAATGCTCCCACCTCCTGCAGCATCCAGCACCAGCTCCTGCACTGGCTCCTCCTCACTGGCAGCACAATGTCACCCGAGGCTGCGCGTTCAGAAAGCTCAGAGCCCTCAGTTTTACCATCGTCTTTCATCCCTGCAAGTGTGAAGTGTCACCCAGCAGCGGTGGGTTTCAGCTGCACTCTCTGGGCTATTGCCCAAAATCCCAAACAAAATCCATCTCTTGATCCCTTCTTTTCGCACGGTTTTGTGGCAGGCTGTGCCATGCCCGCAGGCATGGCCGGGTGCGGGTGCTGCTGCCCTGTTTCCCTGGGCGCTCCCCACAGTCTGATCTCTCCCCTTGATGCTGGGCAGCTTTTTATGATTCATGGCTTTCAACTTGCATTCATTTTCATGTTTTTTAGACAGATTTCTATTTTAAACTGCATTTTTTTCCTCCCGGAGCCAGGGTGGGTTTTTCAACCACTCGCCCGTGGCTCCTGGGCATTAATCAGCAGGTCCCCCCCCCCCCAGCTTCTGCTGCCCTGCTCCTGCCTCCGCTTTCCCTCCCACCTCCCAGCACCTTTGGACTCGGGCATTGAGAAACTGTGCTTGGAGTGACCGAGCTCTGGTCCCGACGGCTGCTTCCATCACTGCTCCAAGGACTCAGCAGTCCAGTGATTTTCCTTGAGATGATGCTGCGGAAGGGCTGACAGCAGGGATCTGTCCCTGGTGGTTCCTGAGCCCTGGGACACAAAATCTGTGCC